TCCCCTCCCAGTCCTTTCCCAGTCCCCTTCCCACTCCCAGTCCCCCCAGTTCCCTTCCCAGTCCCCCATTCCCAGTCCCAGTCCCCCCAGTTCCCTTCCCAGTCCCATTCCCAGCCCCCCAACCCCATTCCCAGTCCCAGTCCCAATTCCAGTCCTCCCAGCCCCATTCCCAGTTCTCCCAGTGCTCCCAGTATGACTCACGCCAGCTGCCGTCCCCCCTCCTGCACAGGTCCCAGCCCCATTCCCAGTGCTCCCAGTTCTCCCAGTGCTCCCAGTGCTCCCAGTATGACTCACGCCAGCTGCCGTCCCCCCTCCTGCACAGGTAGGTCTCCCCGATCTCCACCGTCACCTCCGAGTCCCGGGGCCCTCCCGGCGCTCCCGACCCGCCCGAGGGGCCTCTCCCGGGCCCCGAGGGGCCCCCGGGGGTCTCCGATCCCCCCCCGGGACCCCCCGAGACCCCCCCGGGTCCCCCCGGACCCTCCGGGGCCGCTCCGGAGCCGCCTCCTCCTCCCGCCGCCGCCATCTTGGAGCGCCGCGGAAGTGACGTCGCGGCGGCGACGGAAGCAGAAGCGTTGCTAGGAGACGGCGCGGGCGACGCAAGGGGGGCGGGGCTAGAGGCGCTGTGGGGGCGGTTTGGGCGTTGTGGGCGTGGCTTTTGTGTCGTGGGCGTGGTTATCTAGCTAAGCGAGTGGTTTGTGGTGTTGTGGGCGTGGTTTTCTGTCTAGGGGCGTGGTTTGGGCGTTGTGGGCGTGGTTACGTAGCCCGGCAAGTGGTTTGTGGCGTTGTGGGCGTGGTTTTATGTTTTGGGGGTGTGGTTTCTGCGTTATGGGCGTGGTTATCTATCTAGGGGATAGATATGATCCCAGTGCCCCCCAGTGCCCTCCGGATACGACCATCTATGCAAATTTATGCAAATGAACCCCAATGCCACGGGGCGGGAACTGGGAGGAGCCCCAAGAAAAAGGGGCGGAGTCAATGAATCACATAAAGATTTATGCAAATGAGGGCATCGTGTGCCTGCATTTATGTAAATTTATGCAAATGAGGGCATAATATGTCCACATTTCTGTAAATTTATGCAAATGAACCCCCTCCAACCCCCTGCTCGGGGAGACTCTGCTTTTAAAGGAGGGGGCGTGGCCATCGGGACCCGCCCCCAGCGGCGACCAATGAGAGCCCAGACAACAAGGAGTAGTCAAATCCATGCAAATTTATGCTAATGAGCCCCGTTGCTCCTCCCACTCCTCCGGCGTCAGCGTCCGGTGCTCCAGGGCGTGGATCCGGCCAAGCTCCTCCCCCAGCGCCTCGTTAACGAGCCTGGCGGGTTAATTAAGGGCTTGATTAACGCCACGCCCCCCTCTTCGGCCACGCCCACAATCAAACCACACCCATAATTAGCCCCGCCCCTCAAATGATGCCACGCCCCCTTTTAACGTCTCAGGCCCCTCCCCTTTAGTTCATGCCACCTATAGACCACGCCCCCTCCGCTTAGCCCCACCCACTTTTAGCCCCACCCACCATCAGGCCCCACCCGCCCAACCACGCCCCTCCGCTTAGACCACGCCCCCCTTTAGTATTTCCACCCCCAAACCCCTCCCCCTTTGGCCCCGCCCCCTCCACCTTAGCCCCTCCCTTGAGCCACGCCCACCCCCCTGGCCACGCCCACCGGTGCCTCTGGAGGGTTTTGAGGCCCCGGAAAATTTCGGAGACGACGACGAGGCGGAAACTGCCCGGGCACAGCTGGGGGGGGCACGACACCTCCTGAGGGGTAATTAATGCTAATTAGTGCTAATTAACACTCGATTTACTCATTCGTGCTTATTAATAGTCATTAATTAGCGATTAATAGTTGCTAACCACTAATTAACCACAATTAACCACCCGCCAGTGATGATTATCCCAATTAACACCCCCTTCCTCAGAGTAATTAATACTAATAAGTGCTAATTAATTCCCATTAGTACTCATTTATACTTATTATTAGCCACTAATTACCAATTAATGGTCGCTAACCACTAATTAGACACAATTAACCACCGCCAGTGATGACTATCCCAATTAAAACCCCCTTCCTGGGGCACGACACCTCCTGGGGCTTAATTAACGCTAATTAGTGCTAATTAACGCTCATTTTTCTCATTCATGCTTATTATTAGCCACTAATTACCAATTAAAGGTCATTAACCACTAATTAGCCACAATCAGCCACCCGCCAATGATGATTATCCCAATTAAAACCCCCTTCCTGGGGGTTAATTAATGCTAATTAGTGCCAATTAACACTCGTTAATATTTATTTAATACTAATTCCACACAATTAACCACCCCCAAAGCTGATTAATTAACCTCTCCCAGGGCTAATTAACTTCACTACTCCCCTAATTAATCCCTCAAAGGGCTAATTAGCCCCACCAGGCTCATTAAACCCCCTCCCAGGTACTAATTAACTGCTCCAATGGATTAATTAAGCCCCTTGTGAACTAATTAACTGCTGCAATGAACTAATTAACCCCTCCAATGGACTAATTAACCCCTTCCAGGTGCTAATTAACCCCCCCGATGGATTAATTAGCTCCGCCTAATGAACTAATTAACCCCCCCAATTAACCCCGTCAGTGGACTAATTAACCCCTCCAGGCACTAATTAACCCCACGATGAACTAATTAAGCCCCCTAATGGACTAATTAACCCCCCAACAGACTAATTAACCCCCCAATCGTTAATTAACCCCCCTAATGAACTGATTAACCCCCCAATTAACCCCATCAAGGGACTAATTAACCCCTCCAGGTACTAATTAACCCCCCAATGGATTAATTAACCCCATCAATGAACTAATTAATCCCTCTGGGTACTAATTAACCCCCCAATGGACTAAGTAACCCCTCAATGGACTAATCAACCACTCAACGGACTAATTAACCCCCCCAATGAACTAATTAATCCCTCCAAATACTAATTAGCCCCACAATGGACTAATTAACCCCCTTAATGGACTAATTAACCCCCCAACGGACTAATTAACCCCCAATGAACTAATTAACCCCCCAATTAACCCCTCCACTGGACTAATTAACTCCTCTAGGTACTAATTAACCCCGCAATGAACTAATTAACTCCCAAAAATGGACTAATTAACCCCCTTAATGGACTAATTAACCCCCCAATGGACTAATTAACCCCCCCAATAAACTACTTAACTCCCCCCCAATTAACTAATTAACCCCTCCAGGTACTAATGAATCCCCCAATGGACTAATTAACCCCCTTAATGGACTAATTAACCCCCTGATGAACTACTTAACC